GCAATGCACTTGGGATATACTTAAGTATATGCAAAAGCAGCCCTTTTCCTATGTTCGAAGATGAATTTAACGTAAAGCAATGTGATGATCATTTTTTCAGCCTCTCCTGAAACAAACGGCTGCTTAGCCCAGTCATTCCCTACAACCGTGTAACCCACACTGGAGAGGACTCATCCACGCAGCAGTGAACAGGAGCTTTCCCAGATGATCTATGCATATCACAGAGACAAGAAAAGAGAAAGGACTCATCTTGAAATTAAACGATTAAAAATAACTTGTAAGGGACAACCTTTGCATTCTTAAGTACACTTCTCTTTTAAAACTTTAACAGCAAGAAACTGGTTACATTATTAAATAAAACACCTACACATTTTCCACATCTCTCGGTCCTCCTTTGCCAAATTTTAACATAAATAGGTAGAATTAAATGTAGCCTATAGCTTACCTAACATAATTATATGTTGTGTTTTATACTGTTTCAAAACAGATACATTAAAATAATCCAGTCTTGGCTCCTACCCACTCAAGTCAATAAAGGTTATTAAGGACAACTGCTTGCTATACACAGACACTGCTATGCCAGCACAAGCAACTGTCAGAACAGGAAATGCAAACTCACAACATGATCAGGATCTACATTTCTCTTCAAAAAGGAAAAGCAATGAAAAAATCATGAAGAAATTTCTCTCCGGTATATAAATCATCAGTACTTTTGACAATGCTTTGGAAACCATTCTAGAATATTTCCATTGGATTGTACCAAACAGATTTTTTCTGTTTCTTTTTTTTCATAAGGTCAAAAAGAAATGAATAAATGTCATCAATTTAGAGGATTCCACACCTAGTGTTCTTTTCAGTATCACTGTGAATTTGATAGTGTTAAAACATTTTTATAGGTAAAATAAATGTCAGTTTTGCAAAGAGCGATACCAGACCCTGAGAGACAAATGGCCTATCCATTCAATCTCTGGCTGTAGCAAGACTTCCTCACCTCACTGGAGATTTCAGCTTTTCATATTCCTCTTTACCCAGAAAGCACAGCTTATACAGCTTCTTTCAAATGGTAACTCTTATCCTGAACAGTTTCCTCATAATATAATAATCTTTGATGGGAGGTTGTGGGTTGGCTCAAAAATAAAAAAAAAAAACACAAATATTTGAATAGCACTACAGTGTTATAATACTTCTTGCATATGAAGCAAAGAAGAGAGGAAAGGCCGAGCTAAATTTCTAGGTTGTAAGAAAGGGTTACATTACTTTGGGTTTAACGGCTCATAAATTCATGAGGTAATATTCAGGGAAAATGTGATATTTTATCAGAATGTCATTCAAATATAAGGTTTAACATTTACATCACAAGAGCATGCACTGGGTAAAACTATCCTCCGGGAGAGAAGCAGTGAGAATAAACAGCATGCTTAAAAAATAAAAATGCTTGCTGGGACAGGGACTAGAAAGTAGAGGCTGGGGGAGTTTCAGAGACAGCTGACTAAACTTTCTGAAATATGTGACTGGTTATGACATGTGAAGCAATTACCATTACTGGAAGAAAAACTATTTCAAAGCTCATTTTCCATTCTCCTGTATCCTTCCTGAGTACACCTTCCAACCACAAAGTGAAAAAAAGAAAATACAAAGACAGAGAGAAATTACAACATAAGTCTCTTCCCTGGTACAAGGGCTGTCAAAGGTTGCTTTACTCATAAGCAAAAGGGGAAAAATAATGCACATATTGCCTGAGGATTTTTATTTTCTCACAGAAAGAGATCGATGTTACATTGCAGAACAGACAAAATGCATTGATTAAAGAAATCTTTCCACAACATACACGTGATTTTGCAATTCAAAAAAAGAATAATGATAACAAAGAGTCACTTGTCTAAAATGATAATAATTTTGAGCAATATATTCCCTGGAAGTAAAGTTTAGTACACTCAGATATGCTGTCTAGATTAGTCTAATTCTATAGAATCCAAATGTGCACCAAACATTGCACTTTTTATGTTAAATTGCTGCTGAATTTGTTAACCCACAACTGATTTCCTGTGTTATGGAATCTTGGAGATTACAGCTAACTTGAAGCAACACGAATAATTCTTGACAGTTAATGGCACATTTGTATGCATTTTCCTGAAAGGCTAGCATCCCAGGACCTCAAACTGGCAGCTCAACATTGCCCCCTACTGCTTGCAACTAAAAAAAAAGTAGGAGGTGGCCTGCTACTGAAAGCCCATGGCAACCTCAATATACAAAAATTGACGGAGCCACAGAGGCACAGACCTTTCAAATGAGTGTTCTCTGTCTCCTCCAATAGCTAAAATAAATTACTTTGAATTTGCTAAAAGTCATTTTAAAAGGCTTCAAGTGACACTTAAATTTAACTTAGAAGGACTATCCCTTTTATCTCAGCCCAAACCTTCACTCTGCTGATAATGATCATCCAGAGGCCTGCTGAGGAGAGACACTAGGCCATTGATTTCATGCAGCTCACTGAGGAATGCCACACCAACTACTGCACAAGGAAACTAGCTCTGGAAACTTCCCAGAATTGCTGCTCCTTTTAATATTTTTCATAGGAGAGCTATAAAATAAGTAGAAGAGACTCCTAACTAATGCACCACTGCTTCCAAATACATATATTTATTATACAGTACATGAATTTATAATCACATCATTGTTACATTCACAGTACCAAAGATTTTCCTTTTAAGAAAATCCTGAGCAAAAGAAATTTAAAAGTTTTTAAATTAAGATCCTCCTTTATTTTCCAAATCTTAATTCACAACTCTGCCAAATTACAATTTCAAAATTGAGCTGATGTCTTAGAATTAAAGCTCAGCAAAGAAAGAAATGCTAAACTCCAGCGTAAATGCACAAAATCAGAATTATATAATGGAGGTCCAAATGTTGCCCTGAAACTGAAGCTGCACATATCCCACAACAATGGAACATCCCCAACCCAGGCTTAGCTTAGGACTAAAACTAACTATGAAGAAGTAGACGAGGACTTTTCATTATCTTCACCTTAGTATCACAATGCACGGTTTTATATATATTCAGTGTTTTGGGAAATCAATACTGTGATACTATTAGTTCACTAGAAGAAAGATGGTAATATTCCTTCATCAGGCACAAAGTCATAGAAAGACAAAGTTTAAAGATTTGAGGAGTTGTCTAGAAAGCAGGGATTTCTGAATTCTGACACAGACTTTTAAACTAGGGCTTTCACAATTGTGACCTGACATTTTTATTATTATACAATAAGGATTAGGGTAGAAGCTATGCTATCAATGATAATAAGAAGGCAAGAGGAAAGTTTCCATTTATGTAGCATAGATCATAATTATGGTTTCATGGGTATATGTATATGTATCTGCAAATTCATTTAATTATATACATTCAATATGTACAGCTTTCTGTATGTCAATCACAATTTAATACAGCAATCTGAAAAATCAAATGTATATTAGCAACAGCTACTCATTTCTACAGATTAGTTGATTGTGCTCAGCACACTTCAAATCCTGTACAGTGGTATGCTCTCCAGAGTTTAGCAGGCTTTTATCACTTTTCCATTACATTCCAAATCCAACTGTTTAGAGACTGACAGGAGACAGTGAAGGGTAAGGACCCTAAATCAGCCTTCTTGAGTTCAAATCCCAACTTCCCCACCTACTAGCTGAATGACCTTGGGAAAGTTACATAAGCCCTTTGGGCTTCATTTTCCTTATTTTTAAAAGCAGTAGAAAAGAATACTGACTTCATGGGTTTATCATAAATCAGTTATGCAGAAAATGCTTAGGACTAGTGTCTGGTCCTCAACAAGTATCATGGAAGGTTTTGCTGTGCTTTCTACTGTTTAAATTACAACCTAACTGTGGTGTCTACTGGCTTTCTGCTTTGTTTCCTTTGTACTCCTTTCTTTAAGCTTTACCTCCTCACTTGTTTTGTTGTACAGTTCAAAAAATCTAATGCACCTTCCATATGTGATCCCTAAAAGCCACATTTGTAATTTCACAACAGTCTTAGTTTCAGTGATCTTTAATACTCTTTTCTAAACTGTGATTTTGTGTGTGTGTGTGTGTGTGAAACTTCTTGTGGTGGTTGGGGTGGGGATTTGACTTGATTGGGGTGGGGATTTGCCTTGATCTGCCCCAGGCATAGGTGGAGCACACTCCTAGCTCTGTCTGGGTGGGGCATGGAGAAGTGCTGTATCTGGTCTCTCATCATTTCCTTTCTGGTTCTCTCATCTTACTCTGCTTTCCAACTGACATGAACTAAGCAACTGTGCTCCACCACACCCTTCTGCCATGATGTCTGTACCTTGGAGCCAGGAAATCATGGACTGAAACTGTGAGCAAATTACATGTCTCCTCCTTTAAGCTGTGAGTGTTAGGCATTGTGTCTCTACCACAAGAATGCTGACTAATACACCTCTATTACAGGATTACATTTTAGGTAGCACAATACCTGGTGATATGCATGCCTTTCTCCTTGTAAAACTATTGGATCATGGTGGCTAAGAGGTCCACATCTGGAGTCAGGCTGCCTGGGTATCAATTTTGCTGTGCCACTTACTCGGGGACTTGGGTAAAGCATTTAATTTCTCTGTACCTCAGTTTTCACATCTATAAATTAAGGCTCACAAGAGTTTCTCCATATCTGATCATTGTAAGAATTTTACAAGTTAATGCAGGAAAATCTCCTACAATAGTGCCTGGTACATAAAAAAATGAAAATGAATTTTAAATATTTATTGATGAACTTTTCTCATTGCCACTTCCCAGTCCATGTTTAACATGGTGTCTTCTACATAGATTGTTCTCAAAAAATGTTCACTGAACTAAACTATGGCTGTACTGACAAATCCTGGCTGATCTCATTACTTTACCAAGAATAACATAACTCAATAATTTGGAATAATTACATATGCACTTATATATGCAAATTAAGCAGCTGAGGATTTGTATAATGTACAGTTCCCAGCCTCACATCCTTACCACCCTTTCCATCTTCCTCCACAGCCCCTCCAGCTGAGTCATGGGCTCACACCACCAGTCAGTACACTTTCTGTATCGACAGCCTTGAAACCAAAACTGTCTCAGCCACTCAAACTCGACCTGTGGACCAGAAAGAGAAGATGGTGGTTACAATGTCCTTGTGATAGATAAGCAAGGACAGTGATTTCCTCGCTCAATTCTGCTCTGGTGACTTAATAACCAGAGTGGAAAAAGGTGAGAAAAGCCTGACCTGACCATTCCCAATATACCCTGGCATCTCCAGAGCATTTCTACAAAGCCAAGAAGAGAATAATCTTAAAGCTGAGGCCTTAGAGTGACAATCTGCTGTGGCCAGGAAAGGGTTTTCAATCACATTTATTAGTCAGATGTGCGGAAAATACAAGAGCCAATCAACAACAAATACTGGGATTCTAAAGTACAAGCACAGTGGAGGGGTTATAAGAAAGACAGTTTTTAAACGCTTCTATTAAACATCTTTATTAAAGACTGAGTTAAAGAGCAAGATACAGAGACATATTAAGAGTAATATTTGCAATTGTTTAGATTTAAAATAAAGAACTTGTTCATGGGCCAGTGAGAGCTGGTGATCACCTTAGCCCATATGACCAAACAATTATGAAGGCATACATTTAACCTAAAACTTCATTCAAATTGTCACTTGTCAACTTAGAGCTAACACCCACAGGTAAAGAGAAAAAAGGTATCTATAATTTGTGTTCCTCTCTGTGGACCTGTTTTTATCATTTGCCACATCAGCACTCCTCCTATTCTAGCAAACTTTACTATGCATCTGGTAACCCCGAGCTACCTCTTCCTCAATTTCATTCCATGTGGTCCCAGTAGAGCTTCGGCTCCAGTACTAGAGGTAGAACTGGAAACCCAGGTCTAAGACAATCAGCCCATCCCACTTCTCTAGTCACAGAACTAGATTTGGGTAGGGATTTAGGTGAGTGTTCACTCAGAGTGTGTATCAAGCCTACCAGATGACACAGGAAAATGACTGTAGCCATTGTACTATCAAATGGGAAGAAGGAAGCTAACACAGTAGGAGGTAACTGACTAAAACATGAAAAGATAAAAATCAGGTCCTAGTGATGTCAACTGACTATTAATCAAGTTATTCCTGAAGCTCTTTTTACTTAAGCCAGTTCAGGTTCACTTCTCTGCCCCTTGCAATTGAAATAATACCTCCCCCCGCCACACACACACACACATACACACAAAAGAGGCTAAATAACACTTTGGAAGCCTATGAATTATTCTCTATTTTCATATCTTCTGTCACGCATCTTCCGCTTAAAAACCAAATTTTTACCATCAAAGTATAGTGTCATTTATCCTAAACTCTTTCTACCTCTGCCCGCTAAACAAATGTACAGCAATCATAGCCTCATGCTGGGTTGTCTGGCTTTACCAAGGTGATAATGTTTCATACACAAACACACCAACTTATTATAACTGTCATCTGTTACCACAAAGAATTTTTTTGTTTGTTTATCCATATTGAACTTTCATGAGACAAACAAATGCAACTTGCAAAGATTTAACAATGGCAAAAATGGCTGAAATAAGAAACTGGAGAATGCCAAGTCATATGAAAATGTTTTGGTTCACATTAACGAAATGTTCATTTGATATGCAGATGTGATTTCAGTTAAAACTGTTTAAACAAAACAAAAAAAAGGAACGTAAGCATTATTAAGACAATAGTTTCTAAGCCTTATCTATGTTATTAAAAGATAGTGGTTAGGGCTGGGGATTTAGCTCAGCGGGATAAGTGCCTGCCTTGCAAGTGCGAGGTTGAGAGTTTGATCCCCTGTACTGATAAAAAAAATTTTAAAAAAAGATAGTAGTTAACAGAAATAAACTTGAATATTTTGAAACTTTGGGGAAGATACAGGTCTAACAACATTTATTTCAAGAAAAAAAAATGAATACTTTTTCATGGATTTCATAGGAAATTTGTTCACACTATTAGAATGGCCTATCAGGAAAGCATCAAACCCTATATTAAGGAGAGTTTAAAAGGTTTCCAATCTTTGGCCTGGTTATTTCTACTGAAGAGGACAAAATGTAAAATCTTGACAGCCATAGTACCCAGGAAGTAAAATAGATTACCATATGTATTGAGCTTGTTCGACCTTTCAGGGTACACTGAAGTCCAGATTTCAGGAAATTAAAAGGAGCAGCAAGGAGAAGGCCACATCTGGGGACTTTACCATTGGGTGAAAGAACAAATCAAGAGTCTTGTCCATTTTCATAGGTACTGCCTTCTTCTTCCTCCTTCCTCTAGGTACCTATATTTGAGGCAAAGACTGTCAGGATTAAGAATATAGGGCTCTGAGGTGAACACAGAGGCACATACCTGTAATCCCAGCACCAGAGAGTCTGAGGCAGAAGAATCACTACAAGTTATAAGCCAGCCTGAACTACATAGGGACCCTGTTTTAAAACAGCAACAACCCAACAAGAAATAAAAGGGGCTCTAGATCAGTGAAGAACTGGAATAATTACATATTATTAATGTAAGTTTGTGGTGAGGATCAAGTACTAAGCTAATCACTATGTCAGGTATTAACTAGTTGGGAAGACTAACCAAGACTACGAAACCTAGAACTATGTCTACAAGCATCTCACAATGTTATAAAATTCTGTGAGTAGGAAAAATTTTAATATCCACATGAATTCATGCCTACCCCTTCCCATTACTGCTCCCCAGAAAACTAACACTGAAAACCTACTGCTAATTCAATTTACTCATGAATTGAAGCATGGCCCATGAGATACAATCTTTATGGACATCGAATCCAATGGGCATGCATTTTTTTCAACTCCATTGCCTTTTTCACTCCTATGCATTGGTTTTAAAAAAATTACAATTTTTTAAATCAAATGCCTTTACTGTTTCTCCCATTGCCAAAAGAAGCAGTTGTCTTTTTTTAAATTAAGTAGGGAAGCCAAAAAATATTTCCAGCTGTTTGATACAGAGATTGAATTTAAAAGGAAATTTTGTTTCCGCCTACACTCTGGGAGGATAGGAAGGAAAGCTGCAGGGTGGACTTCGCAGGAAAATCTGAGGGTCAGCACTTGGAATACAATGGAAGCCTTATTACTTCAGAGCTTAAAATAAATAAATAAAAGCCCCTCCATAGTATCTGACTGAGCAAGTTCTAAGCATGACAGGGACTGGGTCTTCATCCCTTTCCCAGAGTGAAGTCCCCTCAAGGAGGCTCACAGCTAAGAGAGATAAGCTGTCAGGAGCAGAAACAGACTAGAAGTCAGAAACCACTGCAAGAGAGTTGTAGGTCCCTGAAGACAAGAACAACAGGAAACATCATGGAGGAGCTCTTTTGAGGTTTTCTCACAGTCTTTTTACATTTGCAAACCAAACACCTTGATATCTAACATGCATGTAATAAAAATTCACCATCATCCAATCTTTTGAGCCAATTACACCCCAAAGGGAATTAAAGTCCACAGGCATTAAAACGTAAACTGACGCTCTCCAGACCCTGCAAGATTTTAATTGATCTTGTGCATTGTCAGAGAAAGATGAAAACAGATCACAGTACTTTTAGGTTCATGGCAGTGACCCAGAAAACCATCTCTGTAACCAGCTTTCCGTTATCTACCTTCACAATGGCACAGGCAAAAGAGTGATCAACTATGAAATTCTTCCTTCCAGAAATACCTAAACAACATCTGAAGAGGTGAAAGAAAAGGATTCATCTAACAGCTGAACGCAAGTCACTGGACACTCAAGTAGTGCAAAGCAAAGCCTATATGATTTCAAAATATATGTCTAACACACTAACTATATGACCACATAGTTGTAAATTAACTCCATTACTCCTCCAGGTGAGCAAATAGCACCTCTTTTTCTTCTGTAACATTTGTTTTGGCTCTTGATTTCATCCCAGATCAGCAACATAATACCTGCATGAGATATGTGAACACATCCCTTAGAATTAATGTCTCACTATAGTGAATGAATTAAGTTATTTCACTGAAAATAGGTTAGAGCAGAAGGAGACACTAAGACCTAATCTACAAAGGGATACCCTATGAAGATCCTTTCATGGAAGTGTTAGGAAGATACAGGTCTGGTAAAAGGAAAATAAGACCCAGCCAATATTACTAAACAATGTATTCTTCCAGGGGAAATATACTAAAAGAGATTGAGTCCACATTTTACTATTTTTTAAAAAGAAAATACAATTTGGTAACACAGAGGAAGTTTCTACTTATGAATGAACATAAATTTTTTCTAAGCATCATACACTGGAAAAAAATACTTTAAAAGGTACTCAGTTTCTAAGTCTAAAGTTCCCAAAGCACTTAGTTAGAACCCATTCTAGACAAGGAAAACAAGCCACTCCTAAATCCAGACAGCCTAAAAGTTTACAGTATTTAAAACCAAGAGTTTCATTTTATACTTTACTTTAGCAAAGGCACATGGCCTTGAAGAGAGAGAAAGGCAAATAAGAAACTGGGGTATCTACTATGGACATTTGTGTTTTCATCTAACAGTGAACACAGGACAAAGCAAACATGCACGTGATCAATCCCAGGCCAGTACTATGGGAGGAGAACAATATTTGATGGTGTGCCCTGACACATGGAATTAATTCTTAAGTAAGGAGATGACCTTGAAGAATCAAAGATGGTAGATGGCAATGAAGCCTGGCACACATGCTATTTAGATTCAAGACCTCTCTCTCTGTTCAACCCAGGTTAGGCTCAAAGGGCTAAAGCTTCTGATACAATTCTTTCCACTCTCCCTAAAGTATACAGTGTCAAAAGCAGCCAGTCACTTTTTCAAACAGAAAGATTTGGATGACAGTATTTTTCTCTTAGATAAGCAGTATAATTTTACAGATTTCCCCTATCCTCTGATGATAACAAAACAACAGTCACAGAAGACCAGAAAACACAGCAAAATAAAATAGCCCATATGCATACTAAAGACAGCACCCAATCTGCTAACCTGACTCTTAAAAATTTGAGGTTTTAAGAAAAGGAAATAACTAAATTCTAGATTTCTATACCACAAATACAGGAGAAGACTTAACTTTCCTTTTAGGTATATATAATTCATTGAGGTCAGTGAGGCTCATAACTGTGTATCTTTCCCATAACCTGACCTATCAACAATGTCTCCGGAGTGACTGATGACAGAGAATGCAGCACTTCCTAGGTACAATGAAGAAAAGAGAGCCAGCCCTGGGTTCAGCTTAGCACTGTAGATGGTTACTATTCCCCCTACAAGCAGAATTTCTTTGCCTTGTGACAATGTTTCAGAAATGTAAAGCACACTCACAAGAGATTAAATACTTTGTAAAGGATATTAAAAGGCTATAAAAGGATATTGTAGGGCAGACATTATTTATCCTTCAATCACTCCTTAATTCCTTCATAGTAAAAAGGAAAGTCCCTGTCCTTACGAAGGTCTCCCAGGACCTATAAATTCTGCCATTCCTCCGTCTCCTGATACTGTTTCTGTGATCTCATCCCCTACACTGGCAGCCTTACTCGCTCCATTCGATCTGTCTCTGAAGCACTGTGAACACCAGGCACTTTCAACCTCATGGCGTGTGCAGTGTCCTTCTGTTCAAACTGCTCCTCTCCAGATAACCGTATCACTCACTCCTTCATCTTCTTCAAACCTCTGCTCAAGTCATCTTTTAAATAGGAATACTCTCTACTAGTCTTCCTAATCTCTATACTTTCTGTTTTTTTTTTTTTTTTCTGTAGCATTTAGCAACTTGGACCATACTATATACTTTACCAATGTATTGTATTTATTACTTATCATCCCTCCCTGAACTGAAATATCTTTTTTCTTTAACAACTTGTGCGAATTTACCCAGGAGAGTGCCTGGTACATGCTCAGTAATTATTTATTGAAGAGGTGAATACAAACATATTTTATATTCCAAATTGTCCATCAATCATTTTGATTATATCAAAGAAAAAGTCTCCACTGGTGACACTCTTCAATACATTTCCACCCTTTGTTAATCTTGCTTTTCTAAAAGCAAAAAAATCAAGGTTTCTTTTAACGCATAATTTACCAACCACAAAATCTATCCCTTTGAACTGGAGAATTCAAAAAATTTTTCAAAAATTACGAAATTGTGGACCATAACCAGGGATCTCCCTTAACACCAAGAAAGCAGTCTATCTGATTAGAGCCTTCTCCACAGGAGGAATCTGCTACAAAATAAAAACACCGTTCTTGTTTCACTGGCTGTATTTTTTTGTTTATTTTTTTCCTTTGGATAGTCATTGTGAATTTCTACATAAAGCAGCAATATTAAGTTTGCTTTTTTTTAATTTTTATTTTTTTTTAATTTTATTTAAGAGGAAAAAGAGAAAAACACAAAACAAAACAAAGCAGTGTAAGGGTACACATAATACAGAACTACAAAAAAAAACATAACAGTAAGAAATCATCTGTAAATAGATTACATATTATCATCTTGGAAATAGTTGCTCAAATCACAGTATCAAAGAATACAAAGTGGACATTCAAACAGAGAGACTGCAAACAGCTGTGTTCAATGATCCAAAAACATTAATATAGTCAGCTATTTAACACCCCTAAACACACTTGCTGTTATATCCATTAGAGCTCTTTTTTTTTCCCCCCTCTCTTTTTTACAACAAAATTTACACATTTTGGATTTTATTACTCCTTAGTTCTTATTACTTTTTTGGGGGGGGAGAGAATAAAGTCAAATATGGCAAAACAAAGCTGTCAGTCAAAACCAAGGATAGACATAGCACATGATGTAGAACAGAGTACAAGGTTATCAACAATGGTTATCAACGTTGTCTCTTGTTTCCTTAAAAGGAATTGTCCATCTCATTAGATATTATAAAGTTGGACAAAACAGTAGAGAACAAGACCAATAAAACTTAGGCATTGTAAACATTACAGGACTTCCAAAGGAGACAATAGTCAAACCAGAATGGGCATCTTAGTGAATCTTATTGTCTTCAAAGTAGTTGCCTATACCCTCAAACTTGATACTATCGCACAGAATGGAGCAGAGTCTCATCAGTCTAAACAAGATCGTGGGAGTATTACAGGACTTCAAAACAAGTTAATAGGAAATCAAAAAGAGTTACTATTATATATCCTAATTTTTTTAATTTTCCCCTTAATTAAAACAAACATAAGAATTAACTAAATAATTTTTTTAAAGAATAAGGGAGAGATTGAGTTGAAACAGGACATAACAATATAACAATAGAGGTCAAAGCATGACTGTTTCAGCAACTTCGTGCTTCACCACCAAATAACCCGATTTAATAGTAGTTACCAGAGTGTCTGTCTTTTTCCTTGAAATATTTGGATAAAACTTCATATACTATAGCTTCAAATATTTCCATATCAAGAAGCCCAGAATAAAGCCTTTCTAATTAATAAGTGAAAATTTTATAAGGCTTCAAGGCCACATAATGGGGAATCATGATTACCACATATTTTTATATATTTGAATCATTACTTACATTAGGGAAACTATTCGGTATTCATACATGCGGGACTGATTTATTTCACTTATGAGTATGGTCTCAAGCTGCGCCCATTTATTGATAAATATCTCAATGTGATCCTTCTTTATAGCTGAATAATACTCCATTGTATAGAAATACCACAACTTTTTTATCCAAAGTTTGCTTTTTAAAGAAATTAATTTATATAAAAAGTAAGGTGGTTAGGCTTATAATCCCAAGCACCTGAGAGGCTGAGACAGGAGGATCACCCTGAGTTCAAGGCCAGCCTAGGCTACACAGTGAGTTCAAGGCCAGCCTAGGCTACATAGCAAGACACTGTCTCAAACAAATAAACAAACAAACAAAAAAAGAGGTTAAAAAAAGTTAAATAGTTAACAATATATGTAGCCCAAAGATATAATAAGTTTGAAAGAATATTAACGAGTATAATAAGTTTGGGAAACTCAGTAACTCACGTAATCTTCAACTGCTACTGAACTCACAAGACTGCAGATAAATGCAACTAATTTCTGAAATAAATGGCAAAATTTTGTCACTTGCTCTCTGGGACCATTCTCAGTCCTTTGTGGAAGACTATTTGTGCTAAGTTTTTTGTATTTTTGCATGTGTTGTGAGTAGCCCTGAAGGGCCTGTGTTTCAGATACTCATTGCAGGGATGTTCAGATAGCAAACAGCCTTGGAAAATCCAGAGCTTCCTCTCCAGAATGGAGGACAGGTTAGTCTTTAGAACTCAATGTAAAAACAGTATCTTCTTCTATAACAAAGGACAGATGTGCTTACTACCTCTCACAAAGACACAAGCTACCTTAGCTCAAGGTCCCTTCCTTTGGGTGCACAAGTTATATGACCCACTTTGCATGACACTGTGGAAACAGAAACTTAGGAACAGTTATGGTCTGAATATTGGTGTCCCCACAATTTTTATGTTGAAATCCTAATCCCCACAGTGATATTAATAAGAGGTAAGGCCTTTGGGAAGTGACAATGAATTGGGAGGACTTAGAACACTTGTAAGTGAGGACCAAGGGGGCTTAGCTGTCCCTTCCACCATATAAAGATGCAGTAATAAAGTGCCATCTATGAATTAGGAAACACCCCTCACCAGACACCTATACCTGTTAGCACTTTGATCTTGATCCCACCTCCAGGACCGTGAGAAAGAATTCCTGTTGTCTAGATGCTGCTGTCTGACCTACATACCGTATTTTGCTAGAGTAGTTTAAATGAACCAAGACAGAGAATTATCAAACAAAAAGTTGAGCCTCTGGCTACTGCCACTGTTGTAATAACCTGTACTTCACCTCGGACTTTGCAGTCTTTTATCTTAGACCAGCATGCAACTCGCACAGATTAATTTGTTAGCTTACAAGTAGGGTTGAATCTCACATCCTTCACAGCTCTTGAAAGTCCTCACCTCATTGTGAATTTCTTCTCCTTGCTTCAAGACTGCAGGCTCAAAGGATTTCAAAGAGACATCACCATTATCCACATCATCACAGACATTCTGCACAGCCAACCGGCAGCGCTGTAAAATATAGTCCAAGGTTCCTGTAGAGCACTGCCAAGACACAACGGCAATCAGGGTTAACAGTGCAAGTCACACTCAACTGGGCCACTCTTCCGAAGGCTTTTCATACTCACCTTTGTCCCCACAGCCCATACTCCCTTGCCCAGGAACTACTCCAGCGGCCTGCTCCCTGGATTCTGTGCTGCAAGCTCAGCCTCACCTGGGCCACCCAGCTCGCTGGTAATCTTTCATTATGTGGACCTTTTATGTTTAACGAAACAGTGAGCAACAGAAGACCATCTGGTGTGTGTGTGTGTGTGTGTGTGTGTGTGTGTGTGTGTGTGTGAGAGAGAGAGAGAGAGAGAGAGAGAGAGAGAGAGAGATTATGTGGTGAATAATATTAACCAAGAAGTCAAGGACATTGATTTTATATCAAGTCTATCTTATGTTGCAAAAGGAGAGAAAGGCAGCCAAACTGTGGAACAATTTCAAAAGCACTCAAAATAGAACATTAATGACTGGGGGTTGAGGGTAGCGGGGTGTTGAAGTTTATAAACACAAGGCAAAAAATCGTTTTCCCGTTTACTGCAAGAAAAAAATCACACTAGGCAACTGTGCTCACTGGCAGAATAAATTCTTCAAATAATAAAGAGTATGTGGCTCATGCTCTCAGAGCACATTCAAAGGCATGAGTTAATACTTGAGTCAGGGAGCACACAGATACCTGGTTCATCCCCTCAGTCTGCTGAAACAAAACAGAGGGCAAATGGAAAAACTCTCTGGAATGACCATAAGTCAGAAAAGAAGAGGATGATGCAGATGGAGTATGCATCCATTTGTTTCCATCATTACATGACTTTTTTAGAATGATAAAAAGCATGATAAAGGAGATGTGTATACACACACACACACACATATAGAAACAATGAGGGAAATGCAGCTCTAAGATATTTTTATTTTCATATTTATAACTTACACTGAGCCCTTGGAAATAACCTTGAGGGCTAATCCTCTGGTATAGAAAGCCTTGCATAGTTATTGCCAGTTTATACAATGTGACATCTAAGAGCTAGGGAAAAAAAGTTTCTGTGCCAAAAAACCAGAAGCTAGACTAATACATATTTTAATACGATGATCCCAGGTTACTGAGAGTACAAGGGCAGGGAACTCAGTTTGATGCAAAAGGAAATCAAAGAATAGAGGTGAATTTTCACTCACTTTAGCCCCACAGTCCCTCCAACAACAAATTTTTAAATGACATTCTGCCTAGAACATTGTCCTCCTCGAACCTTTACTTTTCCAAGTATAAAGTAACCCTCAGTAAGTGTGTGGCCACTTATTTTAGCTAAAGAGGGGATCAACCTAAATTTCCCATCAATTGGGAACCCCTTAAATGAACTACACTTTAACCTTATTTGCTGCCAATGAAATGGAAAGAGAAAAGTAAAATTCTTCCTGAATACATAGAGCTTTATTTGATATAAGACTATGATCAGACTTGGGTTTGTTCCTAGGTTTTTAATTCTTTTTCATTTTGCCACAGTTTTATTGAAATACAATTCACATATCATAAAATTTAACAATTTAAAGCATACAACTCAATGTGTTTCAATATATTCATACAGCTGTGAAATTGTAACTACAGTTAATTTTACAATAATTTTATTACACCAAACGGAAACTCTGTGTCCTTTAGCACTCACTTTTCCCCATGTCCACCAATCTTTCCTGCCCTGGGCAAGTACTAATCTACTTTCTATGCCCATATATATGTCCACTGTGGACATTCAGATAAACTAAATCATACACAACATGACCTCCTATGACTAGCTTCTTAGACTTAGCATGCTTTTATCATCCATCTATGTTGCAGCATGTATCAGCACTTCAGTCTGTCATACTGCCAAATATTTGATTGTATGGTTATACCACGTTTTATTTATCCATTCAGGTGATAAACATTTAGGTTGTGTCCACCTTTCGGCCTGTACAAATCAAGGTACTGTGAACAGTAATATACAAGTTTTACTTGGGCATAAAGCTAGGCACTGAATTTCTGGATGATAGGGAAACTTTGTATTTAACCTTCGGAGGATGTGCCCAACTAGTTACCCAAGTGGCTGCATCTTTATACATTCTTAGCGGTGTTGCACAGGGTTCCTCTGTATGTACAGCTCACCAACACTTATTATCTTTTTTTACCCTAACCATCCTTATGGGAGTAAACTCGTTCTCATTTGCATTTCTCTATAATACTTTGTGATTTGCACAGGACTCTTGGCCATTTGCACCTTCCTTGGGACACGCCTATGCAGAACCTTCAGTGTCTTAACCAAAATTATTTCTGATTTTAATTGTTGAGTTTTAAGAATTCTTTATATATTCTAAACATAAATACCTTACAAAACACATAATTTGCAAATATTTTCTTCCATTCTGTGGGTTTTCTTTTCACTTTCTTAATGTGTTCTTTGAAGTACAAAAGTTTTTAATTTTGATGAAGTCCAGTTTTTCAATTTTTTCTTGGTTGATTTGTGCATTAGGTGTCCCATCTAAAAGCCTTTGCCAGGTCGGGGTTGTAATTCAGTGGTACAGAGCTTGCCTAGTGTGCATGGGATCTATGCATGATGCCCCTGGGATTAATCCCTAGTACCAAAAACCAGGAAAACCAGTAACAACAAAAACCAACTTTTGCCATTGCCCATGCCAAGGAAATAATTATGTATTGATGAGTAGTTATCATCAAAATTTCTGAAACAAAGCAAAAAGTATAGAATAGTGTACAGAATAAGCTACCATTATGTGCAATATCACACACAAAAGATAATAAAAATGAAAACTGTTTCTGGGAAGGAGGAATTAGTTGGCTTGAAGAAACACAGACAAACTTTAGGTAGTAGTTGTGAATTTTACACTATTTGAGTAACTAGCTATTCAAAAATAATTATGCAAGAATCAGTAATAATTATTTTAAATACAATCAATAAATTATATTATAAATACAATAACTTTACATAGAATAATAACTTCAGTGTTGAGGAAAACAGTTTCCTCCTACTACTATTCAAAGCAAAAATACAAGATGAATTTTAAAATCTTAACATAAAAAGGTAATCCTACCACCTAAACCTATTTTTATTTTCATTGTGATTCTTTATCCATATGCAATTACAATCAGTATGCAGATATCAATGTATATGTTGTTTTTCTCATTTTACACATAAGTATTCAAAACTACCAGTGTTAATGTTGTCAATTAAGGTTATATTCAACAATTCAGTTAAGGATCTGCAAAACAGTCTTGGTTACTTTTTTCTCATTGTTGAGACAAAATACTTGATGCCAAAAATGAGGGAAGGAAAGGTTTATTTACCTTACTGCTTTTTGGAGGTTTCAGTCTACACTCAGCTGTCTCCAAGGCAGGGTGGCATGGATGAGGGGCAACCATTCATGGTAGCCACAAGCGACAAGAAGGAAAGGTCAAAATACACACCTCCTTCCCTCCCTTAAAACATATGCTGGCTCCCTGCCCCTGGATAGGTGCAGTACTCATACCACCACTCCCAGCACTAGACAATGAACCAATCACAAATGCTAGACTTGGCCACCTCCATGAGTGCATGAAGCTTTGAGGGGACACAAGTCATAACACCAACTTTTCACTATTAGTGATCGTAGTGAACAAATCTTTTTATTTCTATAAAAATAATTCTATTGAATTCTTTTCTAGATTTAATTCCTAAAAACAATGTCGTAAGATTAAATATATGAATATGTCCATGGTACTTCATATACATTCCCCGGCTAGCCTTCCAAGAAGTAACCAATAAGAAAAATTACCAGAAGCATAAAATATTGGTTTCACTGTAACTTTACCAACACTAATTAGTATCATTTTTTTTACCTTGAGTATTAATATTTTGTTGAAATAGAAAGTTATCCTAAAACAGTGATTTTTCTAAAAATTACTTTTAATTTAAGGTCAGTTTTAAAGCTAGTTTACAAAAGGTCATGTATAGTAAAGGTCAGGATACTTTTTCTTAAAAGACTAGACAATAAATATTTTAGGCCGAACGTCTGAGTTGCAACTGCTCACTCTTAACCCTGCAGTTTTGAAGCAGCCATAAATTACACATAAACAAATGAAGTATACTTGTGCTATAATAAAATTTTATTTGCAAAATCAGTCCCATGGACCATAGGGCACAGTTTGCTGAATGCTGAAACAGCATACAAAAAAAGCAAGATATTCACAAAACTCAACATTGTATGTGTCTAATTAGTAAAACATCATGTAGCTTTAGCTAAAGCATAAAAAATATAAAATTCATGCAACTGGGGCAATAATTTTCTTCTAACAGATACATCACACGTATTCCCCTTTATTTACAATTAATGAATGTTCAAAATTTGCCTAACATATAAGAAGACACAAATAAAGTTATGATTAATTTGAGAAAGCTGTCTTAAGCAACTAAGGTGGCAGTTATTTTTCAAACAGTACACCAAAGGGCTCCTTTGCGAGCTTCTGTGCGTATTATCGCAGGGAGTGGCAGTGAAAAGTGTCTCATGCTTTTCCAAATTATGTTGTGCTATTCTGTTTTGTAGTCCTGGGGACTGGACCCCAGGCCTTCACACTCACCTATATCCCCTACCCACTTTTCAAGTCATGGCAGGGTCTCTCTAAATCACTAAGTCGCCAAGACTGGGGTCAAATTTAGAATCCTCCTGCTTCAGCATCACAGTATGCTAGGATTACAGGCATGCCCACCACACCAGCTTCTCATGTGTTTTAATGTCATGTTTTCATTTGTCTGCTAGACCTCTCCATTTAGTAGTACCAATTCAGTCTGTTCAAAACTTTACTAGTTACGTTCTATAATGTCTTAAACCCTCTATTCCTATTAATAGTGGTGCCATTCTCTGATCACCCAGATTTTTTTTTTTTTGGGGGCTTTTTCCTTTTTATCGGTACCGGGGATTGAACTCAAGACCGCTTGCTTGCAAGGAAGGCGCTTATGCCGCTGAGCTAAATCCCCAGCCCCGATCACCCAGATTTGAAACTCAGAGTCATCCTAGAGCTTGCCATGTAGAAAATATCCAACGAAGAATTGTTCTTTTATTCATTCATTTATTCATTCTTACTTTCCTCTCTCCATTTGTTAGTTGCCAAGCCTAACACTATGTCTCCCACATCATTCATGGAAATTTATTCTTCTTCCTGCTATAATCACCTTCTTAAAGTTATCTTTAATATTCAGTTTTAAAAATTGCCTGCAACTGTCAACAAATGCTCAAGCACTTAATGTTATATCCAAAAATATTCACAATCAGTGCCACGTAGTCAGCTTACCTGCTAACCCTTTCTTTGATACTCTCGAATCCAGTCAAACTACAGTCACTCAGTATTTCCCAGGGGCTCCACATACTACCACAATAATAATATTCCTACCTGGGTCCCGTTTCATTCCATTAGCTGCCCTAAAATATTCTAAAATTCTCTCTCTCTCATGTATAAATGGAAATGGAATAACTTTCCCTATGAAGTGATATAGATGTAGTTGTTCCTATCTTCTAATAATTTTTCATAAGAATAAAAGTTTGTGCTTTCATTGTTTGATTGTTTGATCATTTTTATCATGCCTAAATCTTGTAAGCTGAACAACTACTTCTGAGATAATAATATGCAATATATTAACTAGTGCTAATTTCCTATTTTTTTGAAATTCTGTATCTTTTCTACCCTTTTTATTTTGCTTTTTAAAATAAAAAAAATGACAATAGTAGCAACTAGTAGTGGCCAAAATTCTTTAAATGTGTATCAGTCGGTGTTCTAAAAGACTTCTATGGATTAACTTATTTGATCATTATGATAATCATATGAATTAGGTAGAATTGTTATCCTCATCTCCATTTACACACTAGGATGTACATAATAGGTAAGCTTGACTTGGAAATCAATTTGTAACTCACTATTATCTTCTCTCTGGATTCCATTTGGAACTATAAAGTGACTACTATGGGTTTTTCTCATTTATTTACTTTCCACTCTGAACTAGTCTTATCAGCTGGCCAGTAGTCACTGCCAAATGTGTCAGAATTTAGCAATATAATTTGGATTTGAACACAACTGGGAAATTCAGAAATTCTTTTAAGTTTCTCCTATTCTTATATGCATAAAGTCGCACCAAAATGTTAAGGAAAACATTCATTTGAACCTAGCCACAGCTAACAAATGTACAAGTACATGAATTCATTCCACTTCCTCTAGCCATCTTTGCCTTTGATCTTGACAGATATAACACCTAAGAAAATCTCAAACTAGTGACATCTACCACTAGAAGCTATTTACCATCTCCAAGAACTATAACTCCCAAAAGCAAAATATACTTATCCCGTGCCATGAACATAATTTAAAACTGCAACCAATACAACCCAAAGCTAAAAAGGCAAGTAAGTAGAGACTAAAGTCAAGTTAGATGGAAGCAATTATCCCATCAAATACTCTTCCAAAGCTCTATGATAAATTGCTCATTCAACCACTTCTGTCACATCCCATTAAGTGTGAGCCACATTTTTATTTATACTTACCTCTGCCACTCGGTGGGTAGAACTAAACCGAGGTTGTGAACCAGCCAAAACACAGTGTTGGTGGGTAGCATTGAGATCATCTGCAGGAAAAATTTAAAAAAAAAAAAAAGAATATTTATTAGTCAGCATATACTATCTACTATCTACTATCTAACTAAAATAGAAATAAACAGTAAATCTATCATTCAAGGAACAAGAGTAAACAAAAATTAATTAATATTTACCTTATATTCTTTAATCTGTTCCTTATAAGAAGATAAATATATACTTGATACGCAACTATATGTGTACATGCATATGTCTGTATCATCCAAATCAGGTCATTTTCAAAAGTGAAAGAGGATATCCTCCAAAATTATTCCAGAAAAACAAATGTAAACCTGGACAACCCTCAACCAACATGATATATGGTCACCAATATTATGCGGTCTTATAATGTCTACCCAATGCAAAGTATACTACTTATATATCACGCTCCTTTCTCTTTTAGATGGCTGAGCTACTCCTAGGTATGTCTTTACAGTGAGTCAGAAATAAACATTTTCATCCCAAATCTGTCTCTTTCTCTCCATAACCAAAGTATCAATTTTGCCCTAACAATTTTCCAGGCAACAAACCAACCAACTCAGCATGTTACATGTTTGGCTCTCAGAATAGATCTCAGTACAGAGATTCATGATTCAAGAATGAAGTAGATGGTAAATTATCACTAGAAGAATACTCCCAAAACCACAAGCAGTAGGAGAAAAATCAAGCTGTTGCATATTCTAAGAGCTTATGCTATATATTAGGCAAAATTAGTACAGCTTCTACCAAGTACATTACTTGCTCTATTACAAAGAAGACAGATAAACAGTATGTTCCCAAACAACACACAGCTTCCTTAACAGACAACCCAAGACCCTTACCAAGATACCAAGAAAGAATCAAAGGTAAATAGCCTCCATGTCAGTCCAAACAATCTATAATGTAATCCCAATCATAGAATTGCAAATGCAAAATGACAACTGAAGGACTTCCACCTCTGATTATGGAACAATGGTGACAAAATTTACTCTCAGCTTTAAACAGCTATAAAACAAAAATATGAATCAAAGGTTTCTAACAAGAAACAGAAAGACAGGACACAGTGAAAAAATAAGCAAAATAGGTGAGGCCTATCAGTGCCATTGCTTACTGCCTGGGAAACAGTTTCAAAGCCAGAGCAGGAAAGAGAAAGTTAGTTGAAAGAACAAAGACAGGAAGGCCAAAGCAGCAAGCTTACAAGGCAGATTATAGGAACAGGAGATTTTTTACACAGAAAGAGAGCAAGCCAGAGATCTGCTGAAGGGTTTCCTCCGTCTTTGGCTTAGCACTGATGTGCATACATGTGAATGAAAATTCCCAGTGGTCAAAGCGAGCAGCAGAATGCAGTACACTGAACATTCTGGTCCTCACTCAGGACCAGAATACTTGGTGTTCTCAGTAGCCAGAATGTTCCTACTATGAGAGTCCAGGTAACCCTTAGAAAAAGCAGCATCTGAATAGTAAGGCCACATTAATATTAGATTAAAGGTTGTTCTAGCTCCACCTACCAAAAGTTAACCCACAAAAGGATCCAATTTAGTGACATGATTTAATTAATTATTCATTAGGGCAAAATCCAACAATATTTAAAAGGATATTTAATCTTATTAGTGTGTGTACCATTCATCATATATAGATAGTTTCTAAAATATATACAATCTGAAATTAAATTCACATTGAAATCAACAGAAATTTAGGTACTAGAGAAGAAAAAGATCAGTAAATCAGAATATACAAAAATCAAATACATGTGGGAGAATCCTTGCGAGTTCGAAACCAGCCTGGGCTACAAAGTGAGCTCAAGGCCAGCCTGAACTGCATAGTGAGACCCCGTCTCAAAACACACACACACACCAAAAAAAAAAAAAAAAAAAAAAAAAAAAAATCATCAAATACATTCAAAATAAAGGAAACACAAATAAACACTACCACTAAACTAAAGGCAGTTTAGGATCTATGAAACAACATTAAGTAGTTTAACCTAAATGTAACGAGTTATCACAAAAATTACTGAAATTTTACCCCCAAAATTCCAAGTTTGATGAAAGCTACAAGCCCAATGTCTCAAGAAGCTTTAAAAACATGAGGCAAAATAAAACAAACAAGACCAAACTAATGTATATCAAAATTTTCAATATCAGTGATAACAATGTTGACAGAAAGCAGAACAGGAGACATATTAAATACAGAAAGTCAAAGAGGAGAATAACTACAGACTTTTCAATTTAGAAGAAAACATGATGACATATTCAAAATACTCAGGGAAAACATCTATCAATCTAGGTTCTATCCTAAGTGAAAATAGAAGGCTAAAAGGAAAGTGAAATAAGGACTTCAGACAAAGCTAAAATAATGTGCACTAAATAGACTAAGAATGCAAAAATTGTTACATGAAATTCTGAAGCAAGAAAAATATTAGAATGCATACCTGCTCAAAGGAATGCCAAGTGCCAACAGTAAAATTTTAAAAATTACTAACAGATACATTATTTAATGCCAAAATAATAATAATGTATTCTGAAGTTTGTAACACAAATAAAAGTAAAATGCATGTAAATTGCACAAAGGATACCAAAAAAAAGTATACTATTTTAAGATTCTGACACTGTAGGAAAGACAGAAAATGTGACAGTAACTGTGATAAATTAAAGATATACACTGTAAAACTAAGAATAGTAGTTCTCAATCAGTGTAATTTTGCCATTACCATCTTCCTCTCAGTCTAACAGCGTCTGGAAACCTATTTGTAGATGTCACAACTGAGAAGGAACACAGTTTCATCTTGTGGAGGCTAGGAATGAAAACATTCTACAGTTCACAACCCAACAACAACAGCCTACATGTCAACAGCGCTGACGTTAAGAAATCCTATCCCAAGGAAACTACTTGGGATACTACAAGGAAACTACAAAATTCATCCATCCATCCATCCATCCATCCATCCATCCAAGAGGTAAAGTTAACAAGGCAAAAGTGGAAATACACTGGGGTAAGAAAAATACCTACATCCAAAAGAAGAAGGAAAAGAAGGAGAAAGGAAAGAATACATGAAATAATAAAAAAATAAGTGGGAAGCCATTATGAAATAGAGTAACCTTTATCTGTACTAATCGGAAAAAGAGATCTCAATTATCAATACCCAGCATCAAAGGAAGATCATCATAGCTTCTACAGACACAAAAGATGATATGAGAATACAGTGAACAGTTGAATGATAGTAAATTCAACAAGCTAAATGTAACTCACAAATTCCTTGAAAGACAAACTATTAAACCTCACTGAAAATGAAACAAACAAAATTTATAATTAACAATCTTCCCACAAAGAAGACTTCGGGCTCAGATAACACTACTGTTGAATTTTTGTTTGGGTATATGTGTTTGTGTTTTTGTTTTGTTGGGTTTTTTGTTATTGTTATTGTTTTTGTTTTGTTTTGCAACAGAGTCTCACTATGTAGTAGTTCAGGATGGTCTTGAACTAACAGCAATTTTCTGACCTCAGCCTCCCAAGTGCTGGGATTACAGGTGTATGGCACGACACCTGACAACACTACTGTTGAATTTTGACAAATACTAAAGAAAAAAATAGTATCAGATCTACTCCAATTCTTCTAGAAAATAGAAGCAAGAAGAAGTATCTCACAAATTATTCCACAAGAGAATTATCCTGGTCATACAAAGGTGATCATGTATCCAAATGAATAAGGCCAAAACATAAAAATCTCTAGAACAAAACATGAGAAAATCTTTGTTACTGCACAAAACAAAATAACATTTCTAAGACGTTTTTTAAAAGGCAATCCATTAGTGGTTAAATGGAGATCAGTACTTTCTAGAGACTGTCGGTCAGGGGAAGGGACTCAGAACATTAGGAACATTAGGGAAGTTTGTGGGGCTTAAAAGTATTTTCTATATAATGATTGTGGTGGTAGCTACATAAAGTCACATACTTCTTAAGACTAATCCAATTGTAGAGTTTAAATTGGCAGATAGCACTACATGTGAATCATCTAAATTATACCTCAATAAAGCCAATTTTAAAATTACCAGAACTTCCTGTTTGTGGTCTGGCACATATGGAGTCTAGGAGTCATCAATCTAGACTGACAATAGTAACAAAACAAACTTAAGAATCATCAACTCTTCTAAGATCCAGTAGAGGAGAATGTAAGATAAACCACTACCCCAAAACATGGGCAAGACAAAGACAGGCTGGAAACTGCCAATTACAACTTCACAGCTAGAAACCAACAAGTAGAAACATCTGTGGGAACCAATACTAGAGCAGGAAATCCTGAACCACAATTAATGAACTGTTGAGATTCAATGAGGACAATACACAGAGTTAAAAACTACATGAGTGAGGGAAAAATGCAAAGGGATCTGGTCGTAGAGTGCCCCATATTTTTATGACTTTCATTTCCAGTTCAACCAGATTCTCAGAATGAAGATGAGAGAAAAATTTCAGCAAGGGAATGAAAATTAACTATTACAGACCACACCAGAGCATTCTGTTCCTCTTAATAAGGACTATTTATCTAATCTACTGGGGTTATCAAAGCCCAGCTGACCTGGGGAGGGAAATACCTACATAGTCCAGTCAGATCTAGCCATCCATATGGAAGAATAGAAACTTCAGCTTCTACTATCCTTCCACATGGGAGAAAGAAAATATATAACTTGAACCTCTATTATCCAGCCTATCCCAACCAAAAATAACAAAAAAAAATTTGAGAATCACTTATGAAGTTCATCATTCCAGGGCATAGTACTGCTAACAGACCGAGAATGATAAAATTATAGACTACTGTCCCTCTCCACATACCTCATTATCACAACAGTAAGTCTATTTATTACAATTCCATTGAACAATATATCATGTCTGCCCATCAAGAAAAATTCACAAGGCATTCCAAAAGGCAAAGAACACAGTCTGAAAAACTTGAACAAAACTCAGCTGTGACAGGAATGTTAGAATTATCAGACTATGAATCTTTAAAAATTATGATTAATAT